CCCCACTATACGGAGAAAACCAGGGGAGTGAACCTAAGACAAGATGGCGTTGCCCTCTTTAATTTGGTCGCGTTTTACGTAATGTGAAAGAAGATCTGAGGTCATGGGACGTCCCCTGACTTAGATTTCTCTCTCCATCATTGGCTGAATTGCAGATAAATGCCCACCACCTCTCGGCATCTGACTCTGCCTACAGTTCAAAATAGTCATTTTGACTGACAAGAGTCTGAACAGACTTTAATATTTTTAATCTTTTTCCTCAAAGACGTATTATCTCAATCTGTCACATGGTGAATTAAAATTGTCATTTGCGCTCTTGTCCGAGGGGGGTGCTCGGGTAAGCGCCCACCCCTAAAAAAATTATGATTTTCTGAGTTGAGGACACTGAGCGATAATGAGTATGGTAGTGTCGATAACTAAAAATTCTCATTCTAGTGAATACCAATATTTTTTGTTATCTTTAAAATGACTGGACTTATTGATAAAAATTGTTATTTTATACCAAAAATTCAAATTTTTGCTCTAAAATGTTTTACAGTGGTCCATCTAATAATAATTTACTATTGTTTTTGTAGGAACCTAGTATTGACGCGAGCTCTCATGATGGTATCCAATTAGATAATTTATCAGGCCATATTGAATTTAGAAATGTCTCATTTGCATATCCCACGAGAGAAGACGTCACAGTAAGTTTATTTTTTATTTTTTATTTTACTCTCCTGTGTATGTGTGGAGCATTTTGTCAAACAAGACTCAATTTGTAGGAATCCTGGGTCAAAATGAAATCTCCTAAAATCAAGTTGAATTAGCTTGCTGACTGCTGCAGTGGTCAGTCTTAAAAAAAAAAAAAGTTGTATAGGTGACTTGAGGCCCAAAACAAAAATGTTCTGGCTTCTGATTTCTTTTGTTTTTATACTTATTCATTTCATTTCATGAGAAGATCACTCTCAATGTATTATTTTCTGTTGCATCAATAACACGCCAGTAAATTACAAAACTAGTTGCAACATATCAAATCTTTGTACATCAGTGGCTTGTCATATCGACTTAGAGGACACAGTGCCCTCATAGTGTTACAGAGAAAGCAGGTTTGACATTGATGGTTGGCTGCATACTGACCTAGGAAATTTATTACAAGGTTTTTATCATTCATATTTAGGAGAATTGTGTCTATCTGATAAGATGGGAAGTAAAGTTGTTAGTTCCATGTTTCTTTACTTAGTGCTTGTATATCTCCAACACAAAATTTATTAAAAAATATATATAAATAATTTGGCAGTTAGATGTTTATATAATATGATTATTAATATTTATACAGCGCCTAAGTCTTTGATGGAGTAATTAACATACATTTTTTTTAGGTTTTGAAAGATTTTTCAATAGAAGTGAAACCAGGCCAGACTGTAGCACTTGTAGGGGCCAGTGGATGTGGTAAATCTACTGCAGTTAGTTTACTGTTAAGATTCTATGATGCAGCATCCGGTGAAGTAAGTAATTATTATTACTTACTTAGGTGGTCTTTGAGTGTAACTCATGAATAGTCAAAGTAAAACTTAGGTCAAAGGGTTAACACTGTTCTAAATGTTGAATATATAGACATCTAAACCTGATGTATAACGTAATGGTTATCAGAGAGATTGTGGCTACACACTCAGCAGTGAAAAAAAAGAATGCATTTGCCAGGCTTTAATTGGGCATTTGTATTTGAAAGAATGTTTTTTCAAGGCAGACATAAATTAAGCTTTAATCCTTTGAACAGTTTTTATCCTCAATGCATGTAAAAGATATAGTTGTTGTATTTCTCTAAATGCATTATGCTAACGTAGCTCAGTAACTCATTTTTGTTATAAGCACGAGATATGCTTCTTCAATCCAATAAATATACAAATAAATTAGAAAATGAATAATTTTTTTTATTCTTCAAAATCATATTTGTTAATCAAATGTTTAAATTTGTTACAGATCCTGATTGATGGACATGATATCAAATCATTAAATCTGCAATGGCTTCGACAGAGTATTGGATTGGTTAGTCAAGAGCCTGTTCTATTCGGTTACAGCATCCGGGAAAATATAGAACTTGGACAAGAGGGTGTTACCTTTGATGAAATAGTCAAAGCGGCCAAGGACGCCAATGCTCATGATTTCATTAGTAATCTTCCAAACGTAAGTGTGAAGTTCAAATTTTATATGACAGTACAGTGGGACCGGTGTATAGTGACTGTATCTTAGGTGCTTGTGAAAATTGTCCTTTATAGACAGGTGGTCTTTATAACACAGGGTTATTATTAAATATGTTAATAAAATTATGCCAATAATTCTTCAGTTGTAGGGCAATAGAATGGAATAGAATAGAATAGAATATTGCTTTATTACAACGTTAAAGAAAATTTGACAATTCTTTTTTGGTTTCTACACATGTTTCTACAATATGTCAACAGATATTCGAAGATAATAAAATATACTTTTGTGTAAGGTTTAACACTACTTTGTCAGACAAAAACTGAAATAAGATGTATATAAAGTTTGTCAATGATGATGAAAGAAAATGCTCAACATTCATAGATAATCCTAAAAGTTTAGACTGCATTCCATCTTTCACTTTAGTCTACATCCAAGTTTGGTGAATGCTACATATTCCTTCTAGTAAATCAAGTAATTTTCTGTTGTTGTCCAACAATATTCAGATTTTATGATGTTAATATCTTTTGTGAGTATTTTTATAATGTCTAGTCAAAACTAATCCTGTAAAAGAAAACATTTCAAACTAACATTTAAGAATAGCAAAAAAGGAGGTCCTGATCTAACAGACGATATAAATTTTGAAAACAGGGATGAGATGTCTAATAAACATTTTATGTCATTTTAAGGGGTATGATACTTTAGTTGGTGAACGAGGAGCGCAACTCTCAGGTGGGCAGAAACAGAGAATTGCTATTGCAAGAGCATTAGTACGTGACCCAAGAATACTGCTTTTAGATGAAGCAACGTCAGCCCTTGATACGGAAAGTGAGAAAGTTGTACAGACTGCATTGGATAAGGTAGATATATTGTATATAAATAAATTATAAAATTAGTGAAAACTTCTAGGACCAATAAATATACAGAAATGGTGGTATAGGTAATTATAGTCCTTCCTATCTATACTTTGTCCAAAACATCTGGTTATTTTGAATATTTACCAAGGACTACGATTACCTACTACCATTTTGTATATATTATACATGCATCTCTAAAAATATATCACTGTCATTTACTTTTGTGATAACTAAATTATTACAATTTAATTTGGCATATATTTATGCTTAGGATTAGCTAAAACAGTGAAAAATAATGATTATTGCGTATTTTGTTATGAAACACCATCAACCATTTTTGCAATATCACATACATTAGAATTTAAATTGTTTTTGTTGCCATGACTACATGAGAGAATAACACATGATCTGAGTATTAAACATTCGTCTTGTAATATCTGTCAC